ATGCCATATGCCTCTGTAAGTTGGATGGGTAAATTGGAATGTGAAAAAGATCAGTGCTATCGGTGTGGCTTCGTAGCTCAGCTGGTAGAGCATGCGCGTACAAAGCGTAGGCGGTGTCCATGCGTGGGTTCGAATCCCACCGAAGCTACTGAACTTTTCACAATCGACATACATATATATTTGCTCGTTGTTTCGTGATCAAGAATACACTCGGATTGTCGTTCTTCAGCAGTGTTCTTTTCTCCAGTTGTTGGAGCCTAGACGAAGAGGCGTACGTATCGATTATATTGTCTTGACATCAAGACATAACACACACCACGGCGCTACTTTGCTGGTTAGGTTTTGGCTACTGGAATGCCATGGTTGAGAGTACTTCCAACAAATTCACCTGCTTCGGCCTCGGTAACCGGACATTATTCCGCTCCCGAGCAATTCATTGACTGAATTCTATGTTATAAAAATTGTGGGATCAAAATATTTCGACATAGCCTGGAATCAGTCGTAAAAATTTCATTTGGTAGAGATGGGACACTTGGTTGATATGCGTTCAACATTCACACTAATTTATCGAGCCTCGCCACATCCCTCGCGAGCAATACGGTCTCGGACGTTAGCAATCGCAGAGGCGATTAGCATCCGACTTGTGAAGCCTGAACTGTGCGCTCAACAAAAACTAATCCAGCCCTCTGGCCAAGGGAAAAGAAAATCGCTTGTTTACATGACCATGACGTACCCTAGCGAAATGTGATTACGTAATCCAAACAGTATATCGATTTTGGAAATCTCTCGGGCTCACTACCACATGAGTGACTTATCTAACCATCCGCTTGACCATACTGAAATTGTTTTATGTGATATATATGTAAAGACTTGAAATGGAATTCACCGAAAGCACATGTTCGCGTACATATTGTGTTCTTAATCAATAGGCATAGTTCGTGAGTGAAATATCACATGATATAATACAATATCAACAGAACGATACAACTGTTATGAAGTAAGATTTATTAACAATCGAAACCAAACGAGTCTGCATCGATGTTTTCATTCGCAAATAAATTATCAGTAAAAGAAAACAGGTCTTTCATAACTCCTTTTGCCTAAGGAACCTACCTACTACCTACCTACTGATCATATCTAAAAAGGACATTAATATACACCTTTTCTCATCATGCTTTAGGCGAAACAGTTAATTCTTTACTCTCGACCATCGTTATTATGCCAAATGTTGTAAAGTTAATAAACTGATGACAGTAATGGGGGTGTAATTTTGTGAGCGATGTTTACTATCCTCGGACTGCTAATCTGTCCATTTCTCATAAACATAGTTCGCATCATCACATCACTTAAACCTCCAATGAACATGTCGTGCGGTACACAACCGCCACACCTCATTTCTTAACCAAACCTTGAAACAATATTTGTAAAAAATAAATTTCTTTAGCATTGGTTTGCCTCAGAGTACATTCTGATACTTTTGGGTCTGACTCACCTACAGCAGTATGACTAATTTTTGTGCATCGAGGCTAAAGGACTTCGGGTCGTGGATAAATGACTGCGCGTTTTGGCTAAAGTTTGATGGGCAAATGTTTCGATGCCTTATCGTAATGCGCAAGGTGGCTGCGTGCATTCAATAATCCTCTATTTCCGGCCAAACTAGCATGAGTACATCCTGACTGGATAAACTTCACGAACTACCGAGAGTTCGGTTACTTTCTAGCTGAATGTTAAGGTACTATCAGAGTGTGAATCAGCTCCATGGCCCAAGATGCGATGTCCAAGTTCTTAGGTCTAAGATTATATGCGGCGTAACAAAGTTCTCTGCGCTTTTTTTATTCACCATTGGATCCCAAGCATTTGCACATTCAAGTGTAATCTGTAACTCAGCATGATTTTTTCGGACAATGTGTTGCACAGCAGTAGTTTATTCGATTCCCCTCATTTGAAAGGTATTTTGCAGTAGATGGAATCATGCGGTTANCCCGCCACGCTTTGGGGTACTGCCGTTGCTGTCGAATGATCACGGCCATCCGTCGCCAACCCGATTACTTAAAAAGAAAACTGAAAACCATTGATAACGAAGATGAGAATATTGATCCGTTTGCCGTCATTCATCAGTGTGAAATTGCAGTTCACTACCCCCCCCCTCCATTTTATGATCAGTTCTTCATTCCCTAACCGATTTTCAATTTCATCTAAATAATGATGCACCGAAAACGAGTTTGTTTACCACTCTGTCCACAAATGCAATTACCGGGTGCATTCGTCATTACTTATAATAAATGAATGAAAGCCCAGTCAAGTCAAAATAAGCTTTATGCTCCCCGAAGGGTGAGATTTAGCAATTTTTCACTATAATACAGTGAACTCGAGAGGGGGAGGGATCGCATTAGAATGTGAACAGGTTAAACAAAAGCGACAACAAACTGCAAGCAGGAAGATAATTGTGATTGATAAAAAATGAATAAGTAAACTAACTCATGAGGTGTTCAACCAAACCTGCAATAATTGGTGCCCGATTTACTAAACAGGGAGCAATAAGAAGCGGGGGGATGCTGTTTCTGTATGCGACGATGCGTCCAGGAAGGAGCTTATAATGGGAGCGGGTACGGGAGTTTGACATGGATTTAATAAGTTCGTTCTGCAAGCAGTGATCTTCGTTGTTCAAAATTCTGTCGGCTATCCTTTCACATACGTCGATATGTTTGCATACAATAAAATCAAACATGAGATCTCTGGCCATGTCACTTCATCGGGATAGGAGTTTTGTGGATCTGGAAATTATTACACAATCCTTTTCTTTTAGGCCGGAAAAAAATACGGGGGAACAGTACAGCCATGAGGGAGCTAACACGAATTCGAAAATTACGTTTGGGGGAACAGCAAGCTTCCTAAGCCTGAAAGCATAAAAAGAAAGTTTACGAACCTTGTTGTAAATGTTCTTTACGTGTGAGGTCCAAGAGAGATTGTGGGGTAGAACGAAACCGAGGTAGTTAACAGAGTCAGCTTTGGGAATGCTGTGACTGTTAACGACGAGGTCCGGCAAATCATTCAAGGTAGTTTGATAACGGGGGCCAGATTTAAGACTGAAGGGAAGGTCGACACATTTGGAAACCTCAAGCATGAGTAATCGGGAGGCGGAGACCAACTTAAAACGTCGTTCAGACTGCCTTCAAGTTGACTGAAAGATGTATCAGCATTGGAAGGGCACCCGATCACCACATCGTCCGCATACTTACAGGCAATAAAGTTGGTCGGGATAGGTAGATTGTTTATGTATAGGGGGAAAAAAGAAGGGAGACAAAATGGCGCCCTGAAAGACACCAGAGTTAACATAATAAGACGACGATGTTTTACCATTGCATGAGGTAAAGAATGCGTATGCACACGGATGAGGAAATTGACCATATTGTCATTTGAACTTCTTTCATTCATACAGTCCAGACATTAAAGTGACTTGTAAGCAAAGATCAAGTACTAAAAAAGGGATCACTTCACAGGTGACCTATTTTAACCCATTGTACCTTCTATAATGCAGCTACTCCTATTCTCCACAGATGCGGAAGAGGAGGTAAGATGACTTAATACACTACACCACGTCTTCCCTCATACCCTGAATTGATTCCAGTTTTTAGACAGATGCACGAGCTCGTTGCACATGATCTCGGCCGCAAGGCGTGTGTTTGACGAGGACGGGATTGAGCACTGGTCTCTGGACAATCTCAAACGTGACCAGCTTGTCTATATCACAGCTGGTGAGCCGTTTATCAATGTGTGTCGGGTACAACAAGAAGCCAAACTGCGCGCATTTTTCAATTCCCTAACTCCCATAATTGAGCGCGCTGCTCGCTACGTTTCACTGGTTGATCAAATGGAGAAAGGTTAGTCAAGGAAACATGAACGAATAAATGAATCATTATTTATATTTTTAAACACTGTTCACATTATGATCGAACTTTAGATTTATTGAACTTCTAGAATCCAGCTAATTTTATTGCGGTACAGACTCCAAAATAATACCACAATTATTATGAAGCGCTAAAGTTACAGGTAGTGAGTGGCCACGTAATAGTTTTTCCAGTTCAATATGATTATTCAGAATCAACCACTTATGAGGGACACAATGAGTGAGAGCTTCAGTTTTGTTCACAAAATGTGATGACAACTGGATGGCATAAGCCCAGCGTCGAATTAATTCAATTACCGCCCAGCATTTGGTATTTGAATGTATTTGTAAACTTCTCCCAGTGTTAGAAACAGGGATAAGTTAGCTCCGTCTAAAGTGGTCGTCAGTGGTTAGGATGCGGCATGTATTGGAGGAAGCTGGCAAATTTTATTGAATAATCAAATTGGTGGACTCCATGCTCAAGAGATTGCCGTCAGTGCTCAAAAATAAAGAAAGGCAAATAGAATATGGACCAGATAAATTTACAATACTTGTATCAAGTTTATGAGTTATGTCGATGAACAAATTCTGTTTTCATTGTGGCTTTGTTATTTCACAATTGATGCACCAGCACACATCGCCAAAATCAACAAATTATATATTTTATTGGCATTCAGCTAACAGACGCAAAGACGGGTGGATATTATTAGGAATATGTTGCATCTGATGTATGGGAATATCATATTCAATCCCGTGGATGAGGCAGGAAAAACTAAGCGTCGGGAAGAACAAATGTGATGAAAGTCAGGGTGTTTCAAAAGTTTGGTCAATACCTGTAGGTTCTTATGGAAAAGCTATTTATTTAGCTTCTAATAGTCATTTGACTGAAAGACAGCCTATTCAGTGTTGGATAGAGCTGACCAATTGCAAAGAATCCGGCTTTTCTCAAGTACACAGAATGTTCGGATGAGTGGAAATGATCCTTGAACAGTCAGTCTCCGTATTTAGGTTTTCTGTCTTGTAGTAAGCAGACTGGTTGTGGCCGGTACTTCACACTGTATTCATCTTTTCCTGTGCCTACTTATATGGTCTACCGCTCCGCCTTTCTCGCTATATCACAATGTTTGACCGGCTCCATTTATATTATCTTCAAATTATGGCCTCTTGTGACTTTTATCCCGAGTACCAGCACTACCGAAATCACCGAATCTAATGTGCGTGGAGAAAGAATATTCGAGAATGCGTCTTAAAAGTGGTTTATGAGACTGAAAATGCTACTTCATATCTTCTTTTACCCATTACTTCTAGAATTATCTTTTGTTGTGATGAAAATCGCTCAACGAATTAAGGTCTTCCGTTTCATTATAGCCTAAGAACTGCGCATTGGAAATTTGCAGTATTAACCTTCAGATTACGTTTGAAGTTTTCACTAATACACGACTCCTCAGAACTCATTTGTCATCAGATTCTAATTACGGGTTCAATATATTCCGCGGATGCTTTGGAGACTCGTCAAAGCAAACTAAAGCCTTAGTCTATTTTACTTTCACAATAACTTTTGTAGTATCGGACACTGACATTAGTAAATGATAATATGGAATTTTCAGAGACAATGCAATTGGACCCGTTTTTTTCATCTAGTCAAACACGTTCATGAAAACAATTTTCCTATTCTTCTCATCAGATTGGGTACTCACTCTCTATCCATCGTTATCGGATGGTGCCTATCTGACACTTCAACCACCCGCCCCCCGTATTTTGTCCGTGTTGGACGAAGACGGACAGGTCAATGTGAACACGGACACTGTGGCCAAGACCCAGTTTGAGAGCAGGTAAAATTTCGTTTACCAAATAGCAGTGTTGCGGTCAGTGAGACACATTTTATTCGGTGAATTCGAGAGTTCCGTCGCTTGAGGGATATTCACTGTTGTCTAGTGCTTCCTTGGTGGTTACAAGAAAAATACACATTGCAAGTAGGCCCCATTAGGTAAACTGACTTACTTTTCGGTTTGAGCCGGGGTTTTCTGTGTTTGACCGTCACGTTAGAAACAAGCACGGCAGACTGTTTTGTCCTAAATTGTATTATTGCAACATCTGACAAAACACGAAACAGAGAACAAGCACGTTTTCGATAACTAATTAGAGGAAGCTTTCTCTTTTGGCCAATACAGTTAGATAAATATCACATTTGCATAAAGTTGAATGTGTCTGTGCGGATTTGATTGGTAGGTATAATTAGTTGATTGTGTGCGGTTTACAAACCAAAATGCGTGTTGGGTGGATGGGAAATAGGGCTGAGGCAAATCAAGGTTGGGTCCAAGTAAAGGTTAACCATCATCTGTTTGGGTCACGGCAAGTTACATAGGTAGAGCCATCAGGCAGTTTTCCCAGAGGATCAAGGAACACAAACCAGCCTGGTTGGCTACTGGGGACATAAAAATCCTCTCAGGTGTCATTGTGAGACATCTTGCAAATACGGGACATATCGCGAGTGAAGATGCTTTCAAGGTGATCTACCCGGTGTCTCCTTATACATCAAAGGCGGTTCGTCAACAACATTTAGCAACAACTGAGGTAGCAGTCATCCGTCTGTTTAAACCATCGCTTTGTTCCCAAAAGTGATTTATTTAGTAAAGCACTTCAGCTGCCTTAGCCTCGATGTAAATTCAGTCGCACGATGGAGGTGACTCTTTCCATGATTCACTGACCGAAGCAGGTATTGGTTCATCTTGATTCGGACCCAACCCTCATAGGATAGGAATTTGACCTGAGAGGCTTCACTCCCAACCTTCAAAAGCGACGCTTCCAGTTCCCAATCTATTGTGGTTCGGATCATTCACTGTTTGACGGGGAAATCCGTGCTAAGGAAGTTCTCCTCAAGCAACTCTTCAGGTGTATATCTAGAATTATGGATTACCTCGTATATATAGTTACGAATCAAAGTTTAAAACTCGTCCAATGCCCTATCCTCTATCTATCCTATCTATTCTATGAAACCACTCTCATAGTGGTGAGTCAGTAAGCAAGACTTCCCTATGAAATGCTCCGAATGTGGGTTACAGAGAGATAAGGTCCAAAAAGGGTTGAAAGTCGTTTACTGTACCGTTCACCTCTAGCCATAACGGGCCCTTACAGGCAAAATTCTTTGTGAACTAATAACGTTTACATTAATTTTTATCGTTGTATTTATTGGCGTATTCAATGTACTCGTAAATCAAAGACAGGACCAAACTTTTTCGACTGCAATGATTTTCTCAAAACAGGGACTTTAAGCCTCGGATCATATTTTGGCTTTTGAGGCAAATAACTCTTCAGATTGTCATAACCAATAATACGAAAACGGAGGGATTTTGTATTGGATTTACTCAAAAACAAGTGTCTATATTCCTGCAGTGAAGCCAGAGAGAACGTTTACAACAGAGAAAATAGTGGCTTTTCCTCAATCTAAGGGACTGAATGAAATGAAGTCCTGAAAACACTGTCCGCCAAATTTGCTTTGTCTCCTTTCGATTTGATTTCCACTGGCGATTGATTCCCCTGTGCAGTAGCGCACATCAACGAGCATGTCATGCCTCGGATCTGCGTTGGGCGGAGTTTCAACGTCAGCGATTCGAAGACCAAAATCAGGCAGATGACAAGCAAAACCTGCCAACTCGAGAAAACTCCAGCGAAACAAATGACTCGTGAGTATTATCATATTTGATTGAGTGAACCAGGCTGATTAAAAGCTTGCCAGTAATCGTCTTGAGGGTTGAAGTAATTCCTGTGGAAAATGGTGCACGATACGGTCAGCTTAGATTATTATGGATTTTGAATTTGATTGTCAGTTTTATAGGGAACTGAAATGGCCGAGAATTTCAACACTTTCAAATTTCGAAATATGCCCATACTCGCATTTAGAAGACCATTTCAGGCGAACAGTTGCTTTCAATAACTCATAATGATGCCGTTACAGTTTATACGAGGGGGAAAACCTAGGGGTTGGGAGGACAATAATACAATGTAAGGAATCGTTCACTTTGTGTGTATGTGTGATTGTGTGTGTGTTGTACACCGCATTCTCATATCTTTGCCTCCGGATTTTCAGTTATGTCACATTGGTCGTGTGACCCAGTTCTGAGGGGTCGATGTTATATGTTGTGTGATATGTATCCGGAGCTCGGAGAATCTGCTCACAAAAAGTATTGGAAGATGAACTCAAGTTTATCTCCAACGTGCTCAGAAGCAATGGTTACCCCGACCGTTTCATTCAACGAAATATGATGGAGCAGGTATGAAAAG